AACGTACAATTACATGCATTGCGGGAAAAACGTAACATTTTGAATATTTGTTATTTTTGAGATTCACTTATTCTAACCTTACATTTCTTCCTGCATAAACCTAAAGACCGCTGTTTGCGTCAACGATTGAAACTGTTGTTTTGATTAAAATTAAAACGCCATACGAACGGCTTATCAGACTCCTTTCCCGGTTATCATGTTAGTCAGACATAGCTGGTCTATAAGACGAGTAATGCATCACGATTTATTGTTTTACTATTACTGTATCAAGTCATTCTCTTCTGATATTGCCTGATCAAGGGGGCAGTCAACTGATTAACTGCACATGCGTGTAATGATTTTTTCCGCAATCGTTTTTGCAGTGTTAACAAGGCAAACGTGGTAGCCTGTGTCCACCTTACTGATGTCTTTTTAACTTCAGCTGCTGTTGAAATTTATTTAAGTTTGTTATGTCTATTTGTAAAAAGAGTCTGAAACTATTGAGATCAGTGAGTTCAATCTGATATCGATATATCGGCTGTCAGGTGTAATACAACAGTTATTCGCTCGTCGGGGGCGGTGAATACCCCGTGTCATCGCTTGCAGAGTTAATACCGAAATCGTCCCTTATTAATAAAACGAACAACTATGCATTGCAAACTTTTTATTATCATTATTATTATTATTATTATTATTATTATTATTATTATTATCATTATTATTGATACAACATGAACTACAATAGCACAATTAAAGGAGATACAAAAGATAACACAGAAGGTAATGGTGTGTGTTACAGAAAAAAATACAAAAAAGAAGAGAATTACAAACTAATTCAAAGTACAACATTTTGAGTAGGAAACAATCACCAAATTAAGAATTAATTAAATTACATATATATATATTGTCTAAGACCGGACAGACTGAAGTATGTTTTTCAAATATGGTCAATATATTGGTAAGGGATATTCGTCTGTAGAGTTGCTATATTTATGTCCAAATTGCAATATACATGTCCAGTATTCAAGACATATCTTAAGTTATCGACAAGTATATTAAGAGCATGACACCTATTCAATGTTGACTTTGTATAGGTCACTGATTAAGGCACATGACCGACCTATCAGAGGCTTAGACCGAAATAAATGGGTCAAGATTTGGCATCAGCTACGAAGATAAACATTCTTAAACACAAAGAAATCGAAAGAGACCTGAAAGAGCCTGTATCTGTGACGTGAGTTCTTCGCAACTGAAAGCTTTCTTTTAAGAGACCTCTTACTGTGAGAGCGACTGTCATTGCTGAAAGGCAATCCCTGTTCCTCATTCCAGAATTAAATCACGTTAAAATATTGCACTTTTTCACGCGTCGAGAATGATAACCAAAATTTTTTCACGTTTACACAAAATTTTCTGCGATCATTTTTCAAGAATGAATAGAAAACAGAATCAAGGATTAATTCTCAGTTCACATCCTCAGATCAGATTACACTGTTACCGTTATTAAATGATTTAGGTCATTGAGATCTAACGGCTAACTAAGCAATTCAGATATGCAAAAGGAGTTAGTAAAATCGCAGAAGTTTCAGTTATGTCAAGATCGCAGCGTCCAACCACGGCCGCGAAAGCAAAGACAAACATTTAGTAAAACATTAAAATTCGCAGAAATGGTTCTGCCATTCACGTAAACAAGATGATTCGACGCAAAAAGTGGGAAATTTTAATGTCCAGTGTTTCGGCTATTTGAGTATGGAGGCTGGGCGGGGGCGGGCGCGATTAATAAGAAAGGAATGCCTAAGCGTGAACCAACAATACTGAGACTCCGAGGTATCCCAGCTAGAAAATGCCTGAGAAATGGCAGGAAATGCATTTAATTTAACAAGCGTAGTGTTAATTAAAAAATTACCAACTCCCAGCCTTGTACTGTGCTAGAGTAAATTCAGTTCAAATCCGGCTTTGTGCGATGAAATTTACTCCAGTGCAGTACCCCATGCCATTAGCCTTTTTGCATTAAAATAAACCCGCAGGGATGCAACAATTCAACGATTCAGCTTAACGCGAAGTAACTGTTGTAGTACGATCATTTTTCTTACTAGTTTCAGAATAGCTTTTATTGGGGCTAAATATCAATTGGGACATCGTCCTGTTTTCTGCTTACTGACGCCTATGACTTATTTATTACTGACATTATTTTTTTATTTTATATTATCACTTTGTTTTCCTATGTAAGAGTATGTAACGAATTCAATAAATGTAAATTTAGTCTAAAAGGAAAATTTAAAAAAATGCGACAAATCTCTGGCGGTTAAGACGCTATCAAATGTTGAGTTAACAGTTCCGAGTTTTCGTAGAATCTGATTGTTCCAGTCTAACAACTCGTCCTCACGTGGCTATCAGTGGTATTGAGTTAACAGTTCCGAGTTTTCGTAGAATCTGATTGTTCCAGTGTAACAACTCGTCTTCACGTGGCTATCAGTGGTATTGAGTTAACAGTTCCGAGTTTTCGTAGAATCTGATTGTTCCAGTCTAACAACTCGTCCTCACGTGGCTACCATACTCTATATGAGACCAAACTGGCCAACATCGATAACCTATTTATGACTAAAACGGCTGAAAACCATCATACTCTTTCGGGCCGCGCATACCTATATAACCCATATAAGGGAGTGCCCCCCTCCCAGGCCTGAAAGAGCCTCTATCTTTAGTGTGACCTCTTCACAGCTAATTGCTTAATTTTAAGAGACCTCCTTCAGCTGTGATAGCAGCCATCCGCGACTCATGTTTGTGGCCACAAGATTTCTCCTATATGGGCTTTAAAGGAATGTACCGTGCATTGTAAAGGTCTTAAAAGATATGAGTTTTGAGCTTAAATAAGAGAATTTAATATGTAAGGCTAGTACTACGGAAATAGACTATAGGGCAAATTTAATGGGCAATATTTCGACTAGATGCAGTTCTGATTTGAAATTTGGTAACATATTTTGCCATTTTGTTGGCATGATTTATATACATTTAATCAGGTCGTTACTTTCGGAATTAGCAGCCTTGGGGGCTCGTTACTTTCGGGGGGTCGTTACTATCTAGTGGCCGTTACTTTCGGGCAGCACAAAACCAAAACGTCACATAAAGTTGGCGAGTTTTCTGTTGGTGGGACTGGGCTCTTTTTAGGCAATAAAAGACAGAAATTCGTTAAAACATTTCTTGAAACACGGGACACAATTCTTTGTTCGAGTTTAAATCTATGTTGCTGCCACATGGGTGGGCTCTTTATGTCTAGACCGTGTTGTCAGTGGTCGGCAGGAAAGCTAGTCAGATATCGTGAACTGTTTATACTTCATGACGCACTGCTATTTAGTCTGCTGTAAAAACATCTTAGCGCGATGGTCGAATTTTCAATTTAAATTTGAAGAAACGTTTCTTTTAATACCCACCAGTTGAAAATGATATTAATTTGAATCTAAGTTTGCTATAATGCACGTTCCTGTTGCTTGTGAAAATTCTATGGCTTTTGTTTTAACACGGCGCAACATTAACTGATGAAGCACGAATTGACAGTTCACAACGCTTCGTGGCATAAGCGATACCTTTCTTTGTTGTAGAGTGCCTTCAATCAAGTTACAGTGCGTAACTTTCACCTGACCATGGATTGGAAAAATAAATATACTTTTGAACCTGGGTCTCACTATTTTAGGGGAAGGGGTGGGGGTGGGCTCGCTACTTTCGGGGGATCGCTACTTCCGGGATACATTAGTGGGTAAAATGTTTGACGTGACTTTCGGGGGATCGTTACTTTCGGAAGTTTACGGTAATCTAATTGTTAACTTGAAAAAGAATGCCACATCCACGCCGTGTAGGATAACGGCCTCTGTGGAGGGTAGGGCTGAGCATGTAAGTCGCTTTAGAGCTGTCTTCACTTCACTTTTTGCAATAACACCTTCTGGTGACAATGGGTCGGTCTTTGGAACTGAAGTAAATGCTAATGGAGTAAGAGAAACCATGAACAGCGTCAATAAAGAAGTTTAATGATCTCTTCAAGGAAACACTACAAGCTACATTTGATCATTTCTTTTTTCTAATTCACTTCCAGGTTTTTGACGCACAGAAAACCATTTTGTGTCTGATCAAGGCTCACATTTGTATCTAACCTGTTAAAAAGAACAGTAAGTTGAGCAATTAGTTTTATCAAATATCCGGCTCCATACGAAAGGAATCATGCTAACAATAATAGCAGTAGCAGCAGGTCCACTTGTTTCGACTTATATCAGTGATACATGAGTGCAAATACTTCAACCAAGAGGATTCTTGATGGAGGGGTCGTGGAGAGGGTGGTGTAGGGCGGGAGGGGAGGGGGGGGGGG